GAGTAACCGACGTTAATGTGGTCACCGTTTTCTGACCATTTCGATGCAGTAAATCTTTTCGGTCCAGTGTGCAGAGCAGGATAAAAACAAAAACGGAAGAATATATGACCTCGGCCTGCTTGGCACATCGTGCTGTTGTGGAAATGCCTGTTTTCACTCCGATAACGTCAAATGAATCCATGCGGAAAAGGCTGGATGTGTGGGTTGGCACACAGTGGGGGGGGGATATTTAGTTTGCATCTTCCCAAAACTGACACAGGCTTGGTTGATGTAGCTTAGAAAAACATGAACATTACTTGTTTGTTGGTATCTTATCAGCTCCTCAAAGGCGGTCTGACATATTATTGTGCAATGCTCATGTTAAAAAAGTGCCAAAAGCTCAGGATACTGTAAGGTGTGGTTATATCTGCTATTACATAACAAATAGAGCAGAAGAAGAGCACAATCTTTTCCTCAGTTGCGATATTAGAGCAGGTCTTTAGGTGACTGTGACTACTGCAAGTATAAAGCAAAATGATGCAGGAGCAGATTGTGCTGGCACAGTAAAGTCTTCTTTTCCGGGATCATAAAAGGCTTAGAAAATAATTGAACTTCAACACCTGCTTTATCCTCTGATCTAACTCGTGCTTCCAGGTGTTCTGAATGTGTTTGGTGGGATAATTTATGTAATTAAATCTTCACATTAGCCTTCATGTTCTGCATAGGATGCTGTATTTCACAGGAGCAAACTTGCATCTGCTGCTTACGCAACAATAACAACACGTACTGTTCAAAAAAATGTGTCTGGGCTACATTTACAAGCCTGAACACTGCTGTTGGATGAGAGGGTGGAAGGCTAAGTTAGCTAATGCTACAAATCTTAGTAAGCAAACTACATGTGTATGGGCAATATACATAGATTATTGCTAATAAGTGCTAATTAACAGACAATTAAAATACTCAAAAAAAAAAAACCTGATGTAGAAGCCTTCTCCTGTAGCAAACCTTGTTATTAGCCAAATAATTCCATTAAAATGCCACAAAGATCTCCATTGGTGCACTTTGCAGTGATCAGCAAATGATAAGTCATTCCCCAAAAAGATTTATTTCTATGTGAAGCACACTCACTGCTGCTGTCAGTCTGTTCTGGTTAAACAGCATACACTTGTGTGTGGAGACAGCCCTTAAGTGTTCTCATAAACTGACACAGGACAGCACCTGGGACCACCGCCTGTAAGATATGATTTATTAGAGGACTAAACCATCATGGCAAGGCTTCACTGGACTCTATTTTGATTTAATTTACCTCGGTATAATTCTCTTCCCCTACTTGTATCTGGCTTTGGTCGTGTGTGTGTGTGTGTGTGTGTGTTTGACAGATTTACGATGACAACACAAAGTGAACAGGAGACAGCTGTCTGCTCAGACAGCAGACGTCTAGCAGTCTCCGTTTTTCTCTTCCTTCGTTTGTCTCCATGTCATATGATTCATTAAATTCCCATTTTGCCAAAAGTAGAAGCAACGAGACAAGGATGCAGAATATGGTACCCAGATACATTTGAAGTATTTAGACTTAAAGAAGCACTCAGATGATTTTAAGAACTAAGAGCTGGGGCTTTGGAAACACTTGAAAAGTGTATTCTCAGTGTGTAAAATCTAAATACATAATCTGTTGATTTCATTAGGGTAAGCTTAGTTTCAAGGTATGCATTTGCTGTAGGGCTTAAATCTGCGACTCTCCACCATCTGACCTTAAAATTGAAGGCGCTTCTCAGATGAGAGGTGAAACGTCCTCAGACGCTTTTCTTTTCTTTCTTTCTTTCTTTCTTTCTTTCTTTCTTTCTTTCTTTCCTTCTTTCCTTCCTTCCTTCCTTCCTTCCTTCCAAGCTCCTTAGACTATATTGACCTGGATGACTGAGAACCTTCACAGACATAATACGGTGGGACAGTATCAGGTGTAAAGATGATAAAAAGTGAGACTGAGCTGCTACAGAAAACAAAGCTGCTGTTATAACCTATGGTTTCTTTTTGAAATGACCTTTATTGGCTGAATGATTATTGTCTCGTTCAGAAGACGTACAGCTCAGCACATAAAATTTCCATATATCCATTGGAAGTGTCAGGTGTTGCTTTTGAGGAGTCTGATAGCTTGACAAGAAAAGCTGTCCTTTAATCTGGTAGTCCACGCAGCCATCCCTCTGTGTCGTCTGCCCGACGGCAATAAAGAGAATACCTAGCTATGATTCTCCTGAACACAGACTCTGTTTGGAGGAAGCTCATTTCTGCCACTTGTATCTGTGATCTCCTTCCTTTTTGTGCAAAAACAGAGCACACCGTTCTGTAAATCGTTCCCATATAGTTTTAAAATGCGTTTTGTGGCAGTAAAAGTCTAAACAACCACCATATCTAATGAAAATGTTTAATTTTGTCCTTATGCAGCACTGACGAGCACCTAACAGGAAAGCATGTTGCTAATGCAGGACGTGGCGGTCCAGCAGTCTTATTGTGCTGCACCCAAACCACGAATGTCCTTCTAATGTCAGCAGCTTATAAACCTGCGCATGTGTTTTTAGTTCTAGAAACATCTCGTGCTCTTTGCTAAACAAATCTGTCTTTTGATCATTTGACCTTCAATCAGAATTGATGAGCATAGTGCTGAAATTTGAAGAAAAGTAGTCAGCTGGAGACCTTGTGGACACAAAATAGACAAATGTAAGTATCAGTGTGTCTTGTAACACACGCTTCAGTGTAAAGAGGTTTTTGGGCAAACGGTGATGAGCTTCAGGTGCTGATTGTGCACATTTTGCTGCATTTTGATGGAGGCGGGCCAGCTGCTTCCTCCCTGCTTCCCGTGTTTCTGCACATGTAACCGAACAGACACGAGGATTGTTTTCGGTGTTCTCATCGGACTCTCTTCCAGATCGTGAATACGCCGATTACCCAACATGTGTCAAATGGTTGTTCAGAACAAAACCTCCACTCCCATCGCCCTGCAGTACCCTCCCTCCCTGTTTCTGCTCTTGTTTACCAACACTCTCCAGTCACATGGTCGCGTAATGGCAGGAGCACCTCCACTTCCTCTCTCTTCAGCAGTTGCTAAGATACAAGGTGTTAGTTACTTCGACAATAGCGTGTTGACGCAGGTCAGGGCCGAAATTTTCCAGTTAAAAAACAAAACAAAAGAGAAAAAAAAGGCCGTCTGTTTTGGTGGGCCTGCAGGCAGGAACTGGCTTTTATATTCTTTCACACAGATGTTCGTGTGTAGTACATTAGACCTGCTATTGTGCCCTTAAAAGGTAAAAATCCAACTGAGAGTTTGGCAGAAGAGTCACAGGCACTTAATAAAACTTCTGCAGCTCC